CACCATGGGTGGTACGGTGGTGGTGGCACTTAAGGTGGTACTGTGGGTGGCACTATGGGTGGTACTGTGGTGGTAGCACTATTGTGGAACTGTGGTGGTGGTACTATGGGTGGTACAGGTGGTGGTGGCACTATGGGTGGTACTGGTGGTGGCACTATAGGTGGTGGTGGTACCATGGGTGGTATTGGTGGTGGTGGCACTATGGTGGTACTGTGGAGGTGGCACTAAAGGTGGTACTGTGGTGGTGGCACTATGGGTGGTGGTACTATGGGTGGTACTGGTGGTGGTGGCACTATGGGTGGTACTGCGGTGGTGGCACCAAAGGTGGTACTGTGGTGGTGGCACCAGGTGGTGGTGGGTACTAAGGGTGGTACTGGTGGTGGTGGCACTATGGGTGGTACTGTGGTGGTGGCACCATAGGTGTACCTGTGGTGGTGGCACTATGGATGGAACTGTGGTGGTGGCACTATAGGTGGTGGTGGGTACCATGGGTGGAACTGGTGGTGGTGGCACCATGGGTGGTACTGTGGTGGTGGTACTGTGGTGGTGCACCATGGGTAACCAAGTGAGCAGAATTGGTGGTGGTGGTACTATGGGTGGTACTGTGGTGGTGGCACCATGGTGGTACTGTAGTGGTGGCACTATGGGTGGTAACTGTGGTAGTGAAACCATGGGGTGTACTGTGGTGGTGGCACTATGGGTGGTACTGGTGGTGGCCATGGGTGAGCCTGTGGTGGTGAAACCATAGGTGGTACTGTGGTGAGACACTATTGGTGGTACTGTGGTGGTGGCACTTTGGTGGTACTGTAGTGGTGGCACCATGGGTAGCCTGTGGTGGTGGCACTTTGGGTGGTACTGGAGGTGGTGGTGGTACTATGGGTGGTACTTGTGGTAGCACTATGGTGGAACTGGTGATGGTGGCACTATGGTGGTACTGATGGTGGCACTATGGGTGGCACTGGTTGTGTGGTGGTACTGTGGTGGGACTGAGGTGGTGGTGGTACTATGGTGATTGGGGTGGCACTATGGGTGAACTGGTGATGGTGGCACCATGGGTGGTACTGGTGGTGATGGCACTATGGATGGTACTGGTGGTGATGGCACTATGGGTGAACTGGTGGTAGTGGCACTATGGGTGGGCAGGAGGTATTGGCACCAGGGTGGTACTGGTGGTGGGAGGCACTATGGGTGGTACTGGTGGTGATGGTGGTATTATGGGTGGTACTGGTGGTGGTGGTGGCACTATGGGTGGCACTGGTTGTGTGGGTGGGCTGCTGTGGTGGCACTATGGTTGGTTCTGGTGGTATTGGCACCATCGGTGTACTGGTGGCACGTTGGATGGTGGTGTTGGCACCTGGGTAGTACTGGTGGTGGTGGCACTATGGATGTTACTTTAGTGGTGGCACCATGGGTGGTACTGGTGGTGGCGCACTAAGGGTACAGGTGGTGGTGGCACTATGGGTGGTACTGGTTGTGGTGGCACTATGAGTGGTGGTGGTGGCACGACGGGGTGGTACTGGTAGGGTGGCACTGATGGTGGTGTTGGTGGTACTAGTTGTGGTGGTGGCACTATGGGTGGTACTGGTTGTGGTGGCACTATGAGGTGGTACTGGTTGTGGTAGCACTAGAGTGGTCGTGGTGGCACTATGAGTGGTACTGGTAGTGGTGGCACTACAGAGTGGTGGTGGTGGGCACTTGGTGGGTACAGGTGGTGGTGGCACCATGGGTGGTACTGGCTGTGGTGGCACTGATGAGTGGCACTGGTTGTGGCACTATGAGTGGTGGTGGTGGCACTATGAGTGGTACTGGTAGTGGTGGCACTATGAGTGGTGGTGGTGCACTATGGGTGTTACTGGTCGGGTGGCACCATGGGTGGTATACTGGTTGTGGTGGCACTAGGAGTGGTGGTGGTGGCACTATGGGTGGTACTGGCTGTGGTGGCACTATGAGTGGTACTGGTGGCACTGATGGTGGTGTTGGTGGTACTAGTTGTGGTGGCACCATGGTACTGGGGGTGGTGGCACTCATGGGTGGTACTGGTTGCGTAGCACTAAGGATGGTACTGGTGGTGTGGCACTATTGGTGGTACTGTGGTGGCACTGATGGTGGTGTTGGCACTAAGGGTGGTACAGGTGGTGGTGGCACTATGGGTGAAACTGTGGTGGTGGCAGTGGGTGGCTCTATGGGTGGTACTGGGGGTGGTAACTATTGGTGGTACTGTGGTGGCTGTATCGGTCTCACTGGTGGTGATAGTGGTAGTCGTAGAAATGTTAGTACTGATGGTGGTGAAGGTGGCAATAATAGTGGTGATGGCAATAGGACAAGTAGGGGTAATGGTGGCAATACTGTTGGTATTAATGATGGAGGTGGTGGTAATGTTGGTAATAATGTTGGTAATGTTGGTAAAAATGGTGATGGTGGTACTTACGCTGTGCATAGGGTTGTGGTGGCAGCTAATAGTGAGGTAGTGGTTAGGAGGCAAGTGTGTGGGGTAGTGGTGGTAGACGAAAGAGTGAGGTAGTGGTGGCAGCTAATAGTGTTATTGGTGCAGACCATAGTTATTGGCAGACCATATAAGCGCGGCAGACCATAGTGTTATTGTGGCAGCCAATAGTGTTATTGGTGGCAGACCATAGTGTTATTGGTGGCAGACCATAGTTGTTAGTGGTATAAGAAAAATTATTGGTGGCAGACCAGAGCATAGCACAGTCAGATCATAGTATGGCAGACCATAGTGTTATTGATGGCAGACCATAGTGTTATTGATGGCAGACCATAGTGTTATTGGTGGCAGACCATAGTGTTATTGGTGGCAGACCATAGTGTTATTGATGGCAGACCATAGTGTTATTGGTGGCAGACCATAGTGTAATTGGTGGCAGACAATGGTGAGGTGGTGGTGGCAAACTATAGTTTTATTGGTGTCAGATACAAGGGGGTAGTGGTGGGCACTGGTGGCAGACAATAGTGTGAGAAAGAAAACTTTAATGTTATTGGTGGCAGACAATAGTGTGAAGTTGTGGTGGTAGACAATAGTGAGGTAGTGGTGGCAGACAATAGTGAGGTAGTGGTGGCAGACAGTGGTGTGGAATAATGGTAGTAGACAGTAGGGCTATTGGTGGCAGGCAAATTAGGTGAAATAGTGGTGGCAAAGAAGCGGAATTGATGGTGGTAGAGACTGGGGTGGTAGTGGAGGTTGCTATGGTGGGAGTGATGGCAGTTGACATTGTGGTAAAATGGTGGTAAATACTGACACCGCCTAACATAGTGTTGATTGGTCAGGTTGTGGTGGTTGTTCGACTGGTCGTGGTGGTAGTTGGACTGGTTGTGATGGTGGTTGAACTAGTTGTGGTGGATGTGGTAGTGGTTGAACAATTTGTAGTAGCTGTGGTGGTGATTGGACTGGTTGTGGTGGATGTGATGGTAGTTGACTGGTTGTGGTGGTGGTTGTAGTGGTGGTTGGACTGGCTGTGGTGGTTGTTGAACTGGTTATGGTGGGTGTGGCGGCAGATGAACTCGTTGTGGCAATGGTTGGGCTGGTTGTGTGGTGGTTGAACTAGTTGTGGTTAGTGTGGTGGAGGATGGACTAGTTGTGGTGGGTGTGGTGATGGTTGAACTGGTTGTGATGGTGGTTGGACTGGTTGTGGTGGGTGGGTGTGGTAGTGGTTGAAGAAGTTGTGGTGAATGTGTTGGTGGATGTGTTGGTGGTTGGACTGGTTGTGTGGGTGGGGTGTGGTGGCTCTAGTGGTGGTTGACTGGTTGTGGTGGTGTGTGCAAGTGGTGGGTGGTGTCGTAGTGGTGGCTGGACTGTTGTGTGGTGGGTGGGTGTGGTGGGTGGGTGGGTGGGTGTGGTGGTCGTAGTGGTGGTTGGACTAGTTGTGGTGGTGGGTGTGGTGGTTGTTTGACTGACTGACTGACTGACTGTGTGTGTGTGTGTGTGTGTGTGTGTGTGGTCGAACTGGATGTGGTGAAGGAGACAGTATGTGGTGGTGGGAGTACTGAACAACCTTGAGATTATTCTTGAGAGCAGCATCACCACATCCACCAACAACCAGATAAAAGTTTACAGGTCTTTAAAAACTGTGACAAATTAAAACAGATTCACATTACCTGCTGTTCGTCCCTTTCTAAAAAATTCGGCCACCTCACACACTCACGATTCACTTCAAACACTTTCATTTTCACTTCCTTTTTTTTTCTTCACTACACCGACTCGATCAAAATATCAATAAAAAAGAAACTAAATAAAGTGAACTTGAAGAAATCTTGACTCAAAATGTTTTACAAAGAAAAGAATTAAGAATGAAGAAAAGTATCATTGCGGCTCTTAATTCCTGGGCAATAGGAAACTAAAAATGACACAGGTCAGATATGGGCCCAAGTAGTCGAGTTTTACGAGCTCAGAAACAGCATTTTCGTCCTTGGAGGCACTTTAGACACATACGCCCTTGTTGTTGTTAAGAGCCAGCTGGCGAATGCACGAGGCCACTATATTACTGGTTGCAAATAGCCCGCCCTCGTCGACTCACATGCGCAGCGCAGTCGAGGTACCAACCAGTCAAGACCTCCTCACTGGTGCACACCATGTACGTGTCGAGCACTGTGCACGGGACGGGCTGGATTGGCGTGCACAAGGACGAAAGATAGTGCACGCTACTCGATGAAACTTTTGCGTGTGTGTGTGTGACACATCCGCCTCCACACACACTGGGTGGCGTTATTCTTTTATCACATTTATAATATATATATATATATATATATTTATATTTATATTTATATATATATATATATATATATATATATATATATATATATATATATATATATATATATATATATATATATATATATATATATATATATATATATATATATATATATATATATAATATATTTATTATTATTTTCACTTAATCCATTTAGTTAACATGTTGAAAGCAGGCATGCAAAGGTTGAGGCAGGCACACACACTCCAGTACGAGACAACAGAAGCATCGTACACTCTTCCTCCGTGAGAAGTGGTTGGCGATCCTTAAACAGCACTCGGTCACGCTGTTCCACATCTTGGCGGCTGTGTTGGAGGAGCGCCGTGTTGGTGAAGGAACTACTGCTGGTGGATAGGAGGCGACGGTGGTTCTTTTGAGGGAGGTGAAGGTGGTGGTAGTAGTGGTGGTGGTAGTGGTGGCGGTGACGGCGGCGGTGGTGGTGGTGGTGGTGGATACTAGGCGTTGTCGAGGCACCGTGGCGAGCTATTTGGCAGCCACTCTGGGACACACTGGCAGATCTTCTTGGACTGTGTGATACACTGTTGGTAGTGTGGTGTTACTGGTGGTGGAAATGTTGGTGGTGGTAGAGACGGAGACAGCGGCGGTGGTGGGAATGGAGGCGTTGCGCCGGCTCCACTATGCCCTACCACCACCCGGGTAGACGGAAGCGGCAGGCTGGAGGTTGAGGCAGTGGCGGTGACAAGACGGCGGAGCAGCGCGTATAGCCCTGCTGAGATCGGCGGCGCGACTGACTGAGTGGCAGCGGTGCGGCCGCGCGGCGGCGGACCCACACACGCTCACCGCCATTTTTTATTGGCCCAGCCACCGCCATAGCCGCCGTGGGTGCCAGGAGCTCCCGCCGCCGTCTGCACACACTCCTCCTGGCCGCTTTCTTGTCTGTCCTGCTGCAGGCGGCCCTGCTAGGTCATGGGGGTAGTGACACTCGTCCAGGTCCTCGTGCGCATCGCCCGCCCTAACCCCTCTCTCGCATCCGACTCCCAGCTCGCGCACGCACACACGCACGGACACCGCCTAGCCCTCGCATGCACGCACGCACGCACTAACGCAGCAGCTCCTCCTCTCAACATTACTGACATGCAGTCGCAAAACCGCACCAGTCATGTTAAAGACCAGATGTGTGTGTGTGTGTGTGTGTGACATATTTACGGTGTGGCCTTCCACTGGATACTGTGGCAGTGGTAGGCACACCTTCCCCCACCTTACTGATATCATGATACCATACACTTCCCGCACCCCACTCCTCTCCCCACACACTCATCCACCTATACACACACACAAACACACTCATAACCCCCTCCCCAAATACACACTCGCACCTTGGCACGCTCCCCACACACTCACTCGCACCTTGCCACCCTTCCCATACTCTCACACCTTGCCATCGTCCCCCACACACACTCGCAACCTTGCCACCCTTCCCCCGCACTCTCGCACCTTGCCACCCTTCCACCACACTGCACCTTGCCACCCCCCCACACTGCACCTTGCCACCCATCCCCACACTCGCACACCACCTTCCCACACACACTCGCACCTTGCCACCTCCCCACACTCTTGCACCTTGCCACCCTGCCCCACACCTCGCACATTGCCACCCCCCCCACACACACACCTGCACCTTCCACCCACCCCCACACTCCTGCACCTGCCACCCTCCCCCACTCGCACCTGCACCTCCCCCCCACACACACTGCACCTTTCCACCCACCCCCCACACCTGCACCTTGCCACCCTCCCCACTCGCACATAGCCACCCTCTCGCACATTGCCACCCTCCCCACACTCGCACCTTGCTACCCCCCACTCACGCACACACCCCCACCTGCTGCCACCCACCCCACACACCCACTCTGCACCTTGCCACCCTCCCCCACACTCCGCACCTTGCCACCCCCCACTCTCGCACACATTGCCACCCCCCACCTCGCACATTCTCACACTCTCGCCACCACGCACACCACCCCACTCGCACATTGCCACCGTTCCCCCACTCGCACATTGCCACTCCCCCCACACTCTGCACCTTGCCACCCCCCCCACACCTCGCACCTTGCCACCTCCCCACACCTAGCACCTTGCCACCCCCCACACCTGCACCTTCCCACCTCCCCCCACTCGCACCTTGCCACCTCCCACCTGCACATTGCTACCTCCCCCACACCTGCACCCACACCCCCCCACCTCGCACTGCCACCCCCCACACTCTTGCACCCCACCCTTCCCCCCACTCACCCACCCCACACACCTCTCGCACCACCACCCCCCACTCGCACCTTACCACCTCCCACTCGCACCTTGCCACCCATCCCCACACTCGCACCTACCACCCATCCCCCACACTCTTGCACCTTGCCACCTCCCACACTCTCTCGCACCTTACCACCTCCCCACACTCTCGCACCTTACCACCCTCCCACACTCTCTCTCATCACAAGGCTGTAACTCATAACTATAAAGTCAACAAGTCTGTAACTCCTCCAATATCTTTCACCACAAAATAATTATTAACATTTTCAAAAATTCTTAAAAAAACCACAATATCATTATAACAAACACACCACCATCATTATAACACAAACACACCACTATCATTATAACACACACCACTATCATTATAACACAAACACACCACTATCATTATAACACAAACACACCACTATCATTATAACACACACACCACTATCATTATAACACAAACACACCACTATCATTATAACACACACACCACTATCATTATAACACAAACACACCACTATCATTATAACACACACACACACATTATAACACAAACACAATTACACACACACACACCACATCATTATAACACACACACCACTATCATTATAACACAAACACACCACTATCATTATAACACAAACACACCACTATCATTATAACACACACCACTATCATATATAACACAAACACACCACTATCATTATAACACAAACACCACCATCATTATAACACACACACCAATCATTATAACACAAACACACCACTATCATTATAACACACACACACCACTATCAATATAACACACACACACACCACTCATCATTATAACACACACACACACCACTATCATTATAACATAAACACACCACTATCATTATAACACACACACCACATCATTATAACACAACACACACCACATCATTATAACACACACACACCACTATCATTATAACACACACACACACTATCATTATAACACACACACACATACCACTATCATTATAACAAACACACCACTATCATTATAACAAACACACCACTATCATTATAACACAAACACACCACTATCATTATAACACACACACCAATATCATTATAACAAACACACCACTATCATTATAACAAACACACCACTATCATTATAACACAAACACACCACTATCATTATAACAAACACACCACTATCATTATAACAAACACACCACTATCATTATAACACAAACACACCACTATCATTATAACACACACACACCAATATCATTATAACAAACACACTCACTACACTGTATTATACCTCAACAAACAACAACAACAATAAACAAGTAAAAAAACACCAGTAATGCGTCTATTTGTATGACGTATTATTGTGCACTTCCTCTCACAATGGTAAATATTGAGTGGTCTACTCCCCACCCCTCTCACCCACTCCGTCCCCCCCTCCCCACTCGTGCCTCAGCCGCCGCCGCTGTCTGGCGGGTTCTGTCTGCGGGCTCCGATGTCTAGACTGCCCGGACACCTGCCACAACCGCCCCCTTCCCCCTCCCTCCCGTCTCCCACTCTCTCCTCCCCCGCCCCCGCTCTCCACCTCGCCCCCTCCCCTCACTATACACTATCTCACGCTACGACTCACCACCTCACTGTATGGACTAGGTCATACACGCTATAAACACCAGTATAAATACATATATATTAACTCTGTGTATCGTCACCCCTCCCATCCCACCCCATAGTGAATGCCGTGAATGAAGTATTAAAGATATACATTTAAACTAGCATCAGGCTATCCTCTTACATAATTTACTAAATTTTACTAAGGACTGGGATTTTCACACACACACACACACACACACACACACACACACACACACACACACACACACACACACACATTTGTATGGACCTGCTTATACAGAATGCAATATTAAGTGATTTTATATACACCCCTAATTGTATACCCATACACATTAGTCCTGTGTGTGTGTGTGCGTGTTCCAGACAGACATACACCCATCCTTTGTATGCATACTCCCCTCCCCCCCTTGTGGGTGCTTTTCCGCAGCAACATCATCGCTTCCCCTTGCATACACGGCCCCACATGTTTAATCCTCGTATACGTATATAGTCCACACACACACACACACACACACACACACACACACACACACACACACACACACACACACACACACACACACACACACACACACACACACACACACACAAACACACACACACACACACACACACACACACACACACACTTCTTTAAGGACAACTTTTATATATAATAAGAACTACAGACATGATGTTAACCACAGTATACCTTCTACATCCTCCCTCCCTCTCTCCCTCCCTCTTTCCTTCCCTCCATCCTTCCCCAACACCCCCTCCTTCCATTCTCCCTCATATTTCCATCCCTCCCCTTTAATTCTTACAAACCCTCCCTCCCCTCCTTCATTTCTTCCTTCTATCTATCCATCCTAATATCATCCTCTCCCTTCCTTCCTTCCTTCCTTCCTTCCTTCCTTCCTTCCTTTCCTCCCTCCAGACAGACAGGTGACTCAGGATGACTCAGTAACCCTGTCGTGTGGCCAGAGGCAGACGAGTGACTCAACCAGGCAAGACAATTATATAAGTACGTAGTGAAATATTAGGGAAAAATGGTTATAGAGAAGAAAATAATAAGACAAAATAGTACTAGAGAAGAAATAGGACAAAAATAGTAATAGAGAAAAAAATAACAGGAATAAAAAAAAAATAACCAACAATAACAACAACAAACAAGAAGAAACAATAACGCAAACAAACAAATAAAAAACAAAGAGGAAAACAAGTAGAAGAACAGAACACGAACACTGAACAAGAGAACATCGAACAGAACACTGAACAAGAGAACAAAAGAAAACACTGAACAAAAGAACGTCGAACAACACTGAACAAGAGAACATCGAACAGAACACTGAACAAGATAACACCGAACAGAACACTGAACAGGATAACAAAAGAAAACACTGAACAAAAGAACGTCGAACAACACTGAACAAGATAACACCGAACAGAACACTAAACAAGAGAACATAAGAGTGAAAGTACATCAAGGTAACTCGACCAAGTCACAACTGTGGTCATGGATGCAGTCGGTGCTATGACAAGGCAAGGTATGGCTCTGCCCTTGCCAGTAATAATGTGCCCAGGTTGGCTTACACTTACCTACCTTATACGCCCCCTCCCCCATCCCCTTTCCCCCCTATCACGACCCCTTTAAGACGACTCATCTCCTCTCGAACACGACCCCTCTAAGACGACTTTTCTCGAACACGACCACCTCCCCCTCCATCACTACGCCTCCCAGACGATCGCTCTCCCCCATGAACCCTCCATCACAAACCTTTCCTCCAATCACGACCCCTCCTAGACGACTCCTCTCCTCCCACACGACCACCTCCCCCTCCATCACTACACCTCCCAGACGATCGCTCTCCCCCCATGAACCCTCCATCACGACCCCTCCCTCCTATCATGACTACTCCCATACGACTCCTCTCACTCCCCACACGACCCTCCTTCCACACGACCTTCTACCTCCCCCACGACCCTCCCACGTCTCCATAAGCCCAACCTCGGTCCAGATTGCTCCATTGTAATAACGTCATGTTTTTAGAGTAAATAATGATGTGTTTTAAGAGATTTGTGTAACCTAACCTAACCTAAATAAGTGAAAATACACATTGAGTTATTATAATCAAGTGAAGGTAAATGAATATGAACCAGACGCTTAAAATACCTGTATGATAAATTTATGTAGTGAGGTATTGACTGTTAATTTTCTTTCATACACTCCTCCTTCTTCTCCATTCATCCAGTTTATATTCTCTTCTCCTGTCTCCTCTCTCCCAACCGACCCCCAATGTGGCGGCTGAC